GTTGTTTTACCTCTCCCAAACTATTCCCGTCAAATACATACAACCACAAGCCCAACCCGCTGGAAATACATTCTACCATGCAAGAAAAAATAAAGAGAGTCAGACTTAGTTTGTTTCGACGTAAAAGATTTTTTTTTTTTCAGGTAAAATATTTTTTAATTTTTAGGTATTTGGCAAAAGTCTAGGACCTCTAGGTCGAGGTCGCGTCCATCAAGCGGGCGTTTAAATTGACTTGCCAAAAATTTATGGGTAAGTTATTTTTGTTAGGTTTTAATATATTTTTTTTTTTCGTAAATATTTTATACAACCAAACACCAAAAAAAAAAATTAAAAAAAAAATCTGAAATATATTTTATATCCAAACAAACAAGGAGAAATTGCAAATAACCTCTCCCTACTATTCCTTTTTGGCACTTAATTCCCTACTCTAAATTTTTCGTAGCAATTGTGAAAAAAAACAAAAAAAAAAAAAAAAAAAAAAAAATCGTACCAATCCATGGAGCCTTAGCATTTTTTTTATTTTTTTATTTTTTTATTTTTTTTAGCAAATGGAGCCTTAGCATTTAAAAGGTCTATAAGCCGAAATATAGTACCCGTACACCCTTGAACACATTGAGCCTATGGAATTGTTATAATCTAAATTTATTTCAATGTTGAGAGGCTTATGCGAGACCACACAAAGAATTAGAATCTAAATTTATTTTTTAAGTAAATGTAATGATAAAGGCTAGTCTTAAATGTGGGGTTTAATGAAATTTGAGTCTTAAAGGCGTTCCTTTTGAGCTTGCTCTGGAATAAAGGAGTCTTTAATTCTACATAATGTAATAATTTACAAGTGAAGCCCAAATTTGAATGTGTGGCCCAAGCTAGTAGTCTTGATGGCCTTCTATTGAGCCCGCACTAAGTAGGGCTGCAATTCGGGTGAGTTGGATTTGAGGTACAGCTGGAACTCAATCCAATATATGAAATGTTTAACTTTTATCTAACATTAATTTGACCTTCGACCACAATTATTCTTTTCTTAAACGTGGCCTGAGAGTTCGAGTTAGAAACTCAGTTAATTCGAATTACTCATTTGGTCAATCACCACATTGAAAAATTAATATGATCTTGAGCTAGTTTCATATTAAACTATTCCTTGAAAAAAAAAAAAAAAAAAAACTTATTGCAAGTTTTTAATAAATTACAAATAAATTTTTAAAAAATTAAGTATCCAAAATGTTAATATACAATAAATTAAGATTTAAACAAAAATAAGTTTAAAAGAAAAGGTGATTATAATTTCAATATTATATATGTATTTCAAATAAATAAATCAATATAAATAATATTAGAATTCGGGTTCAGGATGGACTCGTGTTGCTAGTTCCTCAGCCCTAATTAAATTTGAGTTAAATTTTTTTAATTCAAATCTAATTGTAATTATAAAAATAATTGTCCAAACTCATAAAAAATCGAATTAAATTCAAGCTGCCGAGTCCAAATTGCACCCCAACATTGAATACACTGCAACATATATAATATAAAATGGTTTCAACTTACCCCATTATCATGGACTGGTTAAAAAAGTTAACAATTTGTTTGTATTTTTTCAACAATGACTATTTTACCATCACAAGGGGGGTAAAATGCTATTAATATATATATATATATATATATATATATATAGTGCAGGGAGTTCTAAATTTATTGTGCGTAAATGATATGATAAAGGCAATAGCCTTGAATGTGGGGCTAATGAATGAAATAGTCTTAATGGCATCCCTATCGAGCTTTGTAATAGAATAAAGGAGTCTTTAATTTCACAAAATGCAATAGTTTACAAGTGAAGCCCAAATTTGAATGTGTGGCCCAAGGCAATAGCCTTCTATTGAGCCGTAAGTAGGGCTTCAACTCCGGAGAGTTGGCCCGAGTTGGGTTGAAAGCGTTTGAAATGTTTGAACTCTAATTTAACCTTAATCCGGTGTTCAACAATAATTACTTAAATGAGTCCAATTCATCATTTTATTTTTAAACTTGGGATAAGACTTATTCGAGTTAGAAAGTCAAGTTTTTTTGGGTTACTCATAGCATCAATCTCCACACTAAAAAATTAATATGATCTTCAATTAGTTTCATTTTAAATTACTCTTTAACTACAGAAAGTTTTAAAAACTTATTGCAAGTTTTAAATAAATTACAAATAAATTCTTAAAAAATTAATCCTCCAAAGTGTTAACATACAATAAATTAAGATTTAAACAAAAAAAGTTGAAAAGAACAAAAAAGTGATTATAATTTCAATATCATATATAATGTATATAAAATTTTAAAAATATAATGCATATAAATAATATTAGAATTCAGATTCGGGTGGACTCGTATTGCTAACATCTCAACCCAAACACATCCCTAATTAAATTCGGTGATTTTTCAATCTAAATTCAATTATAATTGTAAAAATGATTGTCCAAACCCATAAAAAATAGAATTAGATTCAAGTTGTCCAACCTAAGTTACACCACTAACACTAAGTACGCTGCAAAAATATAATCTACAATGGTTCCAACTTACCCAATTATCATGGACTTTGTAAAAAAAATAACAATTTATTTGTATTTTTCAACAATAACCATGTTACCGTCATAGGGGGGTAAAATGCATGTGATAGTATGTTTAACATTTTTTCAACAATAACCATTTTACCGTCACAAGGGGGCAAACAATGGTTGCAAATTTATTTGTATTTTTTCAACAATAATCATGACGTCGGTGAACTTAACAATTTCTTTTTGCAACATTGGCATTCATTTTCCTCCATCCATCTCACTGCTTTTGTGATGTCAATGGCTTCATCATTGGCTACTCCTACAAACAATATAGTCTGTTAGTGAAATGTATTGTGCAAAAGAAAAAGAAATTTTGATATACTCCATGTCTAAGAGTATTTCCAATGATATGTTAAAATATATATATTTTTATTATAAATTATACACTGTCATGTAAGGAACGGAGGGAGTTAAGGACCAAGGGGCACGTGTCTCCCGGATTTTCTTATATTCTATATATATTTTATAATAATATATTTTTTTTGTTATAAAAATATGAAAAGTGTCCCTCTCAATTTTTTCATTCTTCATGTATATGTTTCCTATTTTTTCTCCTAAATTGTTTCTTTAATTCTTATATTCTATATTAGTAAATTAATTTCATCTAAAAAATATCACTATTTCTTTTTATATACACACATATATTTATAAACATTGACTTATAGGCATGTACATTATATTAAGGGTAGCAAATTACGACACGATATGAGTTAAAAGAGTTTGGATTTGACAAAAACGGGTTTGGGTCATAAAAGGGTCGACACGATTAATCCGTTTACTTAACCGTGTCGGGTTAGGATTGAAGGGTTCAACCTGTGTAACCCGTTTATAACCCATTTAACTCAACACGTTATAATAGTGAATATGACCTATATAATATATTACTCGTTTAAACTCAATTACTATGGATGTTAAGTCATTTCAACATAAACCTTGTCTATACTTTATAATTTTTCTTTTTATTTTGAATATTTGAGTTAATTATGACAATTTTTTTCTATTATTTAGTATTTAATTAAATATTAAATGTCTCATTTTGATAAACAAGTCATTAAACCGGTTAACACGTTTATCTGTTTAATAAACGAGTTGGGTTAGTGTTGAGGATTCTTGACACGATTACTAAATGAGTTAAGTTTGGGTTTACCTATTTAGTATAATACGCTTACATTAAAATGATACGAACACGATCCATGAACATGAATTGTCACCCATACATTATATTGTAAATATATGTTATGGTGTACAATACTACAATGTGCCCCTGAAAATTTTTTCTGGCTCTGTCCCTGTTGCCATGTATAATGTGTAAAAAAAATTTATCTTTAGCATTTTGTTAAGATACACTGTCAAAATTGTTGTGTATTTTACATAACATTATTATAAAGCCAGCACATTTCGTTCTTTTTCATTCCATTAACGAATCAACTCTATATTAAGTAGGTTTGTAAAAATTATATAAAATCCAGGTATGACACTGGTTGACCGGTATGTTTAGAATGTACAATTACTACAATGCCCTTATAAAATTAGATTATAAAATTTACTATGATATATTATAAAATTAGATTAAGTATATATAAACACACTCTTGAAACACAATTAAAGAAAAATTATAACTTAGTTGAGCTGAATCTTAGAATTTGAAAATAAGAAAAATTATATGCTAAAAAAAAAAATTATAGTGTGTGTTAATTATTAGGTTATGGAGGCAGGGTTGGAGAAGATATGGGGTGGGGTGAAATTTTAAACCGGAGTGAAAATTAAAAAATTCACCGGTTATTGGGATTGAGATCCCCACCTCGCAAAGTTACCATCATGAAGGATTATTTACAAAACTGATACTTTGGGTAGAATTGTCCAAAATAAATACTCCATTTGTCACCTATTAAATATGTATATTTAGAAATTGAAGTTTTTAAGGGGACATGTGCTTTGTTCCCTTTTAAAATTACGAATTTATTCTTTTTAGTTTAGATATATATAGTTATTAAGTTTGAATTTTTAAAAAAAATATAAATAACTATGATGGAAAGATCCTTTGACTAAATAACTATGACGGAAAGATCCTTTGACTTTTTAAAATGAACCATTAATTCAAGACACTTAAAAATAAGATAGTAAACTATTAACCATTAATTTAAGACACTTAAAAATAAGATAGTAAATTATTAACATAGGACAGAGGTATATATGCAAATAATCCAAACTAGAAAGTAACCAGTGTATGAAAGAGTTGAGTTTATGACTAAAATTACTCTCACCTCCGTCAACTTGTACCCTCCTCTTGTTTGATTCGCTTAATTAACATTACTATTATCATGGTAAGAAACACGCCCAATAGAATTCGAACTATAAAAGCAGATAATGGCGCCGGATACGGTGGAAACTGGAAAGTGAGACCTTGCTCCCTCCACCGACAAAGGCGGTGGTCAACACTCAACCTCAATTGCTTTCTATCTCTCTTTTTTGTTTTTCAACTGTTACCTTCTCTCTTAAATGCTATCTCAATACCAAATCCTTCCTCAATCCCACGAATCTCTCATCTCTGTAACAAAGCACAACAAAACAAAAACCAAATCAACAAAAATTTATTCAAAATCTCCACGATAAAGAAAAGTCAAAATAACAAAGAAAATAGAACCACTCAATCTATCTCCACACCCAGTTTCTTTCTCTAATCCAAATTATCCCCAATTTTCCATGGCCATCAAACCCACAATTCTCATCACTCTCATCTTCTTATTAGCCAATTCAGTTGTATCCCAACAATCCGATCTCGAATCCGACCCCACCTCCGATTGTACCGGCCGTCTGATCTACATCAGACGCCTCCCAACGCAATTCAACACCGACCTCCTCACCAACTGCTCTGAATACCCTCTTTTTGATGATTTCTGCCCGTACTTGGCCAACCATGGTCTCGGCCTCAAGACCCACAATCGCTCGCACAGCTGGTACCGAACAGACCCTTTCATGCTCGAGCTCATCTTCCACCGTCGAATGCAAGAATACCCATGTCTCACCTCCGATCCTGAATCCGCCGACGCCATCTACCTCCCGTACTATGCCGGAATCGACTCTCTCCGCTACCTCTATGGCCCCGATTCCAATTCTAGCTTCGAGCACGGCCTCAATTTGTTCCAATTTATTCGACACTTCGATTCGCCTCACATCTGGGGTAGAAACTCCGGGCACGACCATTTCTTGGTGATGGCTCGTCCGGCGTGGGACTTCACTCAGCCACTGTCGAACGATCCGCCGATCTGGGGCACTTCGTTTCTCGAATTGCCGGAGTTCTTCAACGTCACGGCGTTGACGTTGGAGTCCAGAGCGTGGCCGTGGCAAGAACAGGCAGTTCCGTACCCAACGTCGTTTCATCCTCCCAGTGCGGCATTTCTTCAGTCATGGATCGTGCGTGCCCGCCGCTCGCGGCGGACGACTTTGATGGCTTTCGCCGGAGGCGGAGGAGTGTCACAATCCCCGAACATAAGGCGGAGCATTAGACTCCAATGCGAGAATAACAGTACAGATATGGTGATTGTCAGTGCTGGGTATTCCAAATTGTGCGAGTTTGTGGATTGTTCGAATGGGATTTGTGAGCACGACCCAATTCGATTCATGAGGCCAATGTTGCAATCCACCTTTTGTTTGCAGCCTCCCGGCGACACCCCGTCGAGGCGGTCCACATTCGATTCAATCGTGGCCGGGTGTATTCCGGTGTTCTTCGAGGAAATGTCGGCGAAGTTGCAGTACAGATGGCACATGCCGGATGATCAATACGGCGAGTTCTCGGTGTTCATTCCGAAAGAGGAAGTGGTGTTCAAAGGGTTAAAGATTGTAGATGTGTTGATGGGTATTCCAAGGGCTGAAGTTAGAAGGATGAGAGAGAGAGTTCTGGAATTGTTGCCCAGAGTTATGTATAGGAAGCACGGAACTTCAGTGGATTGGAGGACAAAGATTGATGCATTTGATATTGCCATAGAGGGTACGTTACAGAGGATCAAATCAAGACTTAAACAACTTGCAGCTCAATGATTTTCATTTCAATAATTCTTCTTGTTTGTTGTGATATTTTACCATTATTTTTCTGCACCCTATTTATTCATAAGAAAGATGTAGAGCAAGTTAAAGTTTTGTATTATTTCATTGACAATAATAATACATTTGATTTTGATTGAGATTATAGTTTTTTTTTTGGGCCTCTTTGTGGGCATTCATGGTAGATATACCACAGTACCTGACATAGATCAGGAGAAAAAGCTATTCAATGATGCAATACAAAATGCTTCTTCTTCCTTACTGCAAAAAGTAAATCCTAAATCCATTTATTGTCTGACTAGGGGAAGTTAAAAAGAAAGGGTAAACTACCCTGGCCCCTTTGAGCTTTGCAACTTTTTATCTTCGTTTTAAACTTTTGTCATATGTCTGGTGTTAATTTTGTCGCACCATATGTACGGAGTATTAATTAAGAATAAAAATGTAATTGAAGGTTAATTTTGATATTGCAAAAAAGTATTCCTACCAGAGTTTTTGGTTAATTAACAGACTTGGAGGTTAGAATGTTTTTTTATTTTTTTATTTTAATCTGAGAGTTGCAATCCAAGGGTGGTTTTCCCTAAACAAAATAATGTAAAGATCCAAACATGTTCATAGAAACAATTAGCTACTGAACGTGCGTTTGAACAACTCTAATGAATAATATTTCTCCTCTCTCTCTCTCTCTCCAACTGAAGGTGCTCTCCAACTATAAAGGAAATTTAGTAAAACTAAAGAGCTCCATGAAACCCCTTCTCCCCAAACCTCCTCTCCCCAACCAGCATCACCATGAACAACAACGACATCATGAGCATCAGCAGCATCTTCCCCATCCAAAACAACACAACTTCCATCAACCTCAACCACAACCCCAGATCAAGCAGAAGAAAAACAAACTACAACAGCAACCACACTTTCACTACCAACAAAAGACTCTTCTCACCAGACCACAAAACCAAAGCACTCACAGCCACCATCAACCTCCCTCAATAAATAACCCCATTCCCAACCATGTAAAGCCACCATTCACCCCTATACGCAAACAAACCAATCCACTTGCAGCTCAAATACATGACACTACATTAAAAACAACCCCAAGGAAACCAACAGAACCAACATCAACAGCCTTACTTACACAGGTGTACCCCCCTCCATTACCACATTCCCCTAGTGGGAAAGCATTCCCATCACCTATTATTAAACCAATCCGAAGCACAAGAAACACAATCACTGCTCCTACCTCACCAAAGGAACACTCACCCCCTCACTCACAAGAAACCACTCCAGATCATCTACAACCTTCAACCTCGCAAACTCAGCAAATTAGGAACTTTAACCCATTGTTATACAGCTCCCCCGGGCATTAGATTGAACGCCTCACAGAATAACTGCAATGGAAGGATGAGAATTTGGGCAAAGCACTGGACATGTTCAAAGAGAAGAACAAGATCATCTCAAAGCTAAGGGAAGAAGTAACCCAATTCAAAATCCAGAAGGCTCCACCAGACAACCACCAAGGCTATAAGGACACAATTTCAAAGCTACAAGCTGAGACTGCCGAACTCAAGAGGCAGATCAACCACCATCATCCACTACCTCTGATGACCTGACAACCAATGTGGACCCAGGATTGAACTCAAATTTGAATTTGAATTCTAATGAAACAGTCAAAATTTTACTGTAAGTACCTATATAGTCAACCTTACCACCCTTACCACATATCCCACACACCATTCCAATAGAGGTAAGCACAGATAGCCTTCCCACCAACCACATCCCATCTCCTACTTTACAACCTACATTCAGCCTACAGTCAAACTCACATTTGACTAATGCCCAACCCTTACATATCTCCACCCTACTACGTCACATCACTGACCCTCAACCTATCAACCCTCATCCCCCACCACCTAAGGTTATTACCCAGCAGGCAAAATCATGGACTGAAGTGATCAAACAATGCAACGACAAAATGAGATTCGAATTCATTCCTTCTTCCTTACCCTCGTCCAACATCATTGACCTTCCTAAAGAAGTTATTGATGAAGGTCTCCACTTCTGGAATGAGTCCCATCTGGTAGGGATATCCATCCACAAAAGAATCCCCTTCAAGGTCATCCAAAAAGCAGCGGCAAAGCTATGGAACAAGCATGGGCTCACTGACACTATCCAAGGAGAAGGAAACTCATTCTTCTTCAAATTCAAATCAACCATTGAAGTAGAAAAGGTTTTACCACTAGGGCCATGGACTATTACAGGCCACCCTTTTTCCTTGATGAAATGGAATCAAGTTTACCAACCTCACTTAAACCACATAGGCTGCATCCCTTATTGGGTCAAATTTCATGGTATTCCACCTAATTACTGGACAGACAAAGGCCTTAGCTATATAGCCAGTTCAATGGGAGAGCCCCTTTATGTAGATGAAACCACAGAGAATAAAATTAAGCTTAAGTTTGCAAGAATTTGCATTAATCTAGACCTATCCAAACCACTGAAGCATAAAGTATAGCTAAAAATTGAGGATGACAACCTTGAACAAATCAAAGTTGAATACTAATAGCTCCCAAATATCTGTAATAAATGCAATCAACTAAGCCACACAAATGATCAATGCCCCCTAAACTATATCAAACCAATCTACCACAAAACCAAGCACAATATTATCACCAATCACAATGCAACCCCCAATGACTCCAGGTCATTACAGAAAGATCACAGCCCGGCAACCAATCCACCCAACACTGAATGGATAACAGTCAGAAAAAAAAGAAAAAAATCAATCCCAATCATTAATGAACCCCTACCACAACCTCTTTCCAGCATCTCTACAACCCAATTCTCAACCCTAGCACATATATCTCAAGAAGTAAATCCACCTACCAACATCTCAACCACCCTTACTCAACATATCAGCCACTCCTCCTTAGACACAATGGTGCAGAACACATTTTCAAGCTCTCCCAATCTATCCATTACACATTCACCATACTACTCCCCACTGTGCTCCAAGAAACTAAATTTCTCAAATATGACACCATTCCCTTCAAAATCACCTCATAAGACATCCCACCCAACCTCACCATCAACCTTTCCATAGTCTAAGGAACAAGGGATAAATCACCACTCAACAAACTTAATTTCACCACCTGCAAAGTCCACCAATGAGAAGGTTACAATAAGATCCATGAAGAAAGCAGCAAGGAGGAAGTCTTGTGGTAGCACAGAGTTGATGTTTAATGGTCTTGTCCAAGGCCACAAACATCCTGAAGGTTCTCTCTCCCACCCTTTTAATGATCTATTTCCTCACATGGAGCATTAGAGGGCTAAACCAACCCTCTAAACATGCAAAAATCAAAAAGCTGATCTTTAAAAAAAAGCTGGATTTAGTCTCAACTATTGAGACTAAAGTCTTTCACACCAACATTGAATCTATTTATAGATTCTTAGCCCCTCTTGGTCCGTTGTGCACAACTACAGTTTTTCCCATTTAGGTAGAATATGGGTATTATGGAACCCAAATGTAATTGATCTCAATGTGATTGACACAAATAGACAAGCCATCCACTGCAGCATCACCATCACAGGCCAAAATGTTACCTTTTTCACTTCTTTCATATATACAGCTAACTCTGTTACCGAAAGACAAGTGCTTTGGGAGAACATCATATTACATACAGGTAACTTTACCTAATCTCCTTGGCTCCTGATAGGAGACTTCAATGTAATCCCAAATGCTAGAGAGAAGCATGGTGGCACAATGAGATAGTACCCAGCCATGACTAAATTTAAAGAGTGCCTGCAGAAAGCTGAGCTTGAAAACCTAAAATTCAATGGTATACTTTACTCTTGGTGCAACAGAAGGTTGGGAGTAGCCTGCATTGCCAAAAAAATGCATCAAGCCTTGGTTAACCAAATATGGACCAACTCATTCCCATTGCTTGAGTGCAACTTCTTGACACCAGGGATCTCAGACCACAGCCCCATTCTAGTTTCCATGGATTTCCACCTACCAAGGAGATGTATTTCATTCAAGTTCTTTAATACCTAGAGTTCCCATCCCCGGTTCCTACCTTTAGTACAAGAAGTATGGAGCACTCGTATTGAGGGCACAGTAATGTACCAATGTGTCCAAAAGCTCAAATTATTGAAGCATGTCTTCAAAACCAACTACACAAAAGAATTTACTGATATTGATTCTAAACTACATGCAGTCAAAATGGAGCTGGACTCTTGTTAACTTAACCTTGACACCAATCCAAGCAATGATTTCCTAAAGCACGTAGAGAGATCACTTACCAATGAATACCTGAGGCTGGCAAAACATCAAGAAGATATGTTGAGGCAGAAATTAAGAATAACATGGTTGAAGTTGGGTGATTGCAACACTTCCTACTTCCACAAATCCCTCTCATCTAGAAACAACAGGAAAAAAATTGTTTCCCTTACCACTAATAATGGTCGAGTCCTAACTAATAGGGAAACCATCAAAACAGAAGTTGTATCTCACTTTCACAACCTGTGTGGCTGCTTTCCCCCTTCAACACACAGCATTACTGATTTACAGCCATTCATATCCAGATTGGTACTTACTCACCTCCACAGTTTTTTGGATGAGTCCCCATCCCACAGTGACATCCAATCATGCATGCTTAGGCTCAGCAAGGACAAAGCCCCTGGTCCAGATGGATACAATGCAACATTTTTTCAAAAAGCTTGGGGAATTGTTGGAAGAACTGTCACTAAAGCTGTCTCTGAATTTTTCAGGAATGGGAAGATGATATCTAAAGCAAATAATACATATATTGCATTGATCCCCAAATGCCAAAACCCACCACCATCCATGACTACAGGCCTGTATCCTATTGCAACTCCATATATAAATGCATTGCAAAAATTCTGGCATACAAGCTGCAGCAGTCCCTCCCTCATATCATTGACATATCACAGTCAGCAATTATAAGTGGCAGGAAAATCAGAGATCCAATCCTCCTAGCTCATGAGCTTTTCAAAGGGTACCATAATGACTCATCTACTGCAAAATGTGCCATCAAAATTGATCTAAAAAAAGCCTTTGATTCAGTTAAATGGGATTTCATCCTAAGTTGTCTCAGTCTGCCAAACTTCACAACTAAGTTCATCT